AATATTTTTAATGGCCTGATTTGAAGCCCAGTAAAAGTCTTTCCATTGACTACAATAGGCTTTGGCTCAAACCCCAAAACAACATAAAATGCCAGTCAGTTTCATTGCCAATATTCAAAATTCAGGGTAATAAGGACACTTACATGCTGCTGCTGGAAAAAGTTATGAGCAGCAGCAAAGGCAAACACTGGAGAATCAGAAAACGAGAGACTTAGGAAAGATTTGAGCAGAATTGCCCCATAAGAACAACAGCTGCAACAGAACAATGATTTTTTTCTTGAAAATAGTCTAGAAGTGTTTGTCTGAGTAGGTAATTTTCATTCCTATGTAATTCTCCTAATAACCCAGAATATATTGGTAAAAATTGACTGTGGTATGGAATGATAAAGAAAAGTCTTCTAATCACTGTGTTTCCCTCTATGCTTTCATTTTATGTGATATTCTATGCTACTTGTTAGAAACTTTGTCATTCAGAGGACTTATTTGCACCTAAGGATAGATAACTCTCCAGAATTAAAATGTAAACAGAAGCATACTGGATTGCTGCTCTTCAATTTTGCCTCTCATCTAGATAATCCTCCATGGAACAGCTAATCCAATTTTATGGCCAGATTACATGAGCACGCCAGCCAAAGTGATCACTCCACAGCAAAGAATCTGGCCCTTTGGATGTACCTTTAAGATTCTACACAGCTGTACCCTTGCATACATTTAATCTCCTCGCCCATTGCTTCTCATTTAATCCTTGCACTCTTTTCACACCTATATCTGGCTTCCTTTTTACCTTCTTCTCTGACTGATGCTTCTCACTCATCTCCTGAAGGACAACCTATTTAATCATATTTCATCTTCTTCCTTGCTCTTGCATCTACCTGATTCAAGTTATCATCCCCAACTACGATTCCAAGATGCAATCTTCCACAATTTTCAGGAATATCACCCAAAATACAGTTCCTGTTTTGGCTAGCTCTAAACGGCAAAAGAATAGCACTCTCTTTTTACTCCATCATATCTGCTGACGTAACCTCTCTGGTTCCCTCTCCAGAGATTTCTCTTGATCTCTGTCTGCATTCTCCTCTCAGGTTTCTCTTGATACATCTCTTTCTAGCTCCTTCCCTAAGGCATAACATAGGTCTCTCTGGCTATATATCTGGTAACGCTTGGCAAATCATTGATAATGAATTGGACAAATTTTGCCTTTATTTCTGTTGTTAATTGTCTGCAAATAAATCATGATTTTCTCAAGTTTATTTCTTTGAAATTATTTGCCAAATACTTCTTGACCTGTGTCTTATTCACAATCAGTTTGTTGTGATTATTTGAAATTCAAGATGATCTGACACATAGGAAAAACATACAATTCTGCAAAGTACTGAGCACTCTGGCTCTGATTCCTCAAAACGGGTAAGGATTTGTATAATGATGAGCTTATAAGATGTCCTATTGAAATCAAGGAGACTGTTCACATGATTGAAGTAAGTATGTGCTTAAGTCCTGATCTGAGCCCAGAGTGCTCAGCACCTTGCAGGATGAAGTCCCTTCCTTGTGTGTTTCTGTTCCCTGTCTGGATTAGTGCAACACATAGAATCAGGTTATGTAAATTCAAAATTTGTTGAAAAAAAAATGCTCATTTAAGTGACTGTTCCTGCCAATATGAACACACACACACACAGGACATACATTCAGTCAATGGAAATTCTTTTAAAAATTCAGTTGAATATTTTGACAGTATATATCCATCTCTAATTCCCAATCTCTACATAGGTCTGTTAGCCTCTTCACAATCCACCCCCACCATCAGCTTAGTTGTTCCTGTCATGGAGGTTAAATGCCATATCATCCCCTGTAATGATAGTTGTGTCTGTAATGCCAGATCTTCAGTGCTCGTAGTGTTGACTCATCAGGTTTAATTATTACTGATTTATAGATAATAATTTATTGCATGGGGAGGCAAAGAAATACAGAAAATTATATAGAAGCAAAAGATAAATCAGGCAGAAAATTTGACCTCTACACAGCCCTAGTTCAGGAGAAATTAAGAAGCATGTTATATGCAGCTATTTTTTGTGAGGGGGTTCCTCAGCCAATTTTTCTCCCTTTGGCAGTTTCTATGCTCTAACTTTCTCCCTGACTTCTTTTGCTCCATTCAATTTCCCTTCTGCAGCTTGTGCTCATGTCTCTGATACAGTTCTTTTCACACGCTTTCTTTCCTCCCAATTAATTTTTCTTCCCAACTTGTTCCTATCCTCCTCAAGGAGGTGCTGCTCCTGTCACCATGCTTTCTTAAGTCTTCTCATATGCTGTTTAAAACTGCTCCCCCCAAGTGCCATGGAAACATATGGTCCCTACATTCTGTCCTTTCTCCTCTTAATGAGGTATCAGCCTTTGAACATTCTGCTTGCCATTAGCACAGCAGCATAGCAAAGAAATATCACTTCTGTGTACACCCTCCTCTTACATCCCCCTCTGACTTCTAGACCATTCACCTCTCTGACTCTTTCACCATTCAGGCTCATTTTGAACACCTCTCTCTTTGATTTCTCACCAGTTCTCACCAGGAGCATCCATACTTGTTATAAGAGATGCCAGATTGTGGCACAATTTGTGCTACACATAATAAAAGACAGTCACTGCCCCAAAGAGTCAGCAATCTCAAGAGAAGACAGAAAAAAACAGCAAGCAAATGGTCTTGTAGCATTTTATAGACTAACAAAACATGTAGATGGTATCATGAGCTTTCATGGGCACATCCCACTTCTTCAGATGACCGGAGTTACTATTAGAGGATAAGGAAACTCGAAATAAATAGGAGAAGGGAAGGCAAGGGGGGAAGAAAGATGTTCTGTCACCCACCCCCCTACCTGTATGCATAAAGTATCAGGAGAAAGGGTGCTAAACCTGAGTAGATAAAGATCAAAGTCAGCGGATGGATAAGGCAGGAAGAGAAGACAGGCAAACCATGAGAGGAAGGAGGAATGATCATCTCCCTTTTATAGATGGGAAAGAGAAGAGCAGAGAGCTTGATCCAAAGCAAGCCCATAAATAGGCTAGGAAGTATCATACTGTTGTTGGCAAATGTCAGTTTCAACACACACACACACACACACACTTTCAAATTTGATTTAAGGATATTTACTTTGTATATTTTGACATTGACAAAATGTTGACAATTTGTCAATGTTTATATAGCTTTAACTTTTTATAGCTCAGTGTCTATTGTCATCAAATTATTATTGTCTGAAAACACTCTGTTGTCTGATGCTTCATAATTTCCTGAAACTGTGAACATTTAAATTGATCAAAATAGATATAAATGTTTTAAAAACACAAAATGTATCTGCTGAGATTATAAAAATATGGAAGTTTAATTCTGCCAAGCCTGCCCATAAGCAATTTGTCAAGGTCACAGAGCAAGCCTGTGGCAGAATTAGGAATTAAATCCACATCCCCTGAGTCCCAAAGTCAGTGGTTTAACCACAAAACCATTGTTCCTGGCTCTTACCACTCCCACATGCCTCTTTAATTTTTTACTAATAGCTGCAGTGGGATGAGCCAGAGTCCCCTACTGTAAAAACCCTCATGCACCATTCTGCTTCCAACATTCTCCCCCTTCCCTGTTAAAGGACATCATCACTCCCAACATCTGGATTGCTGTGTGCATTGCAGCAGAGAGGCAAAGAACATCCATTTAATATGTACTTCATTGTCATTCCCTATACACCCCTCTGGCTCTCTCAATAACCATTTAAAGTTTTCCAGCTCCCTTTTACCAGATCATTTCTTTGCTCTCTGCCTGCATCTTTCTGTTGTTCTCCCTGTGTCTGAGGAAGTATGAGCTAAACTCTTTTATTGTGATAGTTATGACTGACATTCTGGATCTCAGACTGATGAAACTACTGCAGTATAGCAGATCACCCCAGAATCCTTTACCCCTCACTATACCCGAGTAATTCATGTTTTGGAGATAATGGAACACATAGAAAAAGACACATGAGGTTTTATTTTTATATTTAATGAGGCAGTTCAGGCAGTAATTCAGATCCTTCACACATCCTCAAAAAAGGAGAGGTAGTCACCAGGAGTGCACACATCTTTTCATATGGGTTTTTCCATCTGCTTCTCATTCTCTGCTCTCACTTCCTCTCTGGCTCTGTTTCCATGGTCATCACCACCATAACCTCCGAGTGCCTCGCAAATCCCCATTCCCACTGGGTAGGGAAATATCATCACAAAGTTACAGTGTGGGAAATTGAGGCATGGAGTCTTATCCAAAGTCACATTCTGAGTCTGGAAGGGTATGTCTACACTTGCACCCTCTTTCGAGAGAGGGATGCAAAGGAAGACATTCGAAATTGCCAATGAAGCCGGGATTTAAATATCCTGTGCTTCATTTGCATATTTGCAGTATGGCGCTATTTCGAAATATTGCTATTTTGAAATAACAGACGCTGTTAAGACGTGGTTATTTCGAGAGATAAACCTTCTCTTGAAATAACCCTTATTCCTCATACAGTGAGGTTTACCAGTTATTTTGAGAGAAGGGTTTTCTCTCGAAATAACCGTGTTTTAACAGCATCTGTTATTTCAAAATAGCAATATTTCGAAATAGCGCCATACTGCAAATATGCAAATGAAGCACAGGATATTTAAATCCCGGCTTCATTGGCAATTTTGAATGTCTTCATTTGCATCCCTCTCTCAAAAGAGGGTGCAAGGGCAGACATACTCCTACACAGGTAGGACTTGAACACCTGATTCTCTTTCCAGTGCACTGATCACAAGATTGTCTTTCTTCCTATTGGCTTCTTCTGCTCACTATCATTGCTTTTACGAGTCCACACATACTGTTCATTGTGTTCTGTTAGCTTTTCCTTCCTCGCTGTTCCTTGTCCATCCAATCAGAGGGGATCCTCCAGCTGTCACCATACGTTATTCAATTTTCTCCAGCTGCCCCATTCAAATGGCCAAACACAACTGTCATTTCCAACTGTCACAGAACCTTTTGCTTCCAACATTATGCTCCTCCAGCTGTCAGAGAGACATCACCCAAAACACTGTTGTAAGGATTAATTCATTAATATTTGTTTAGGTGCTCAGATACTACAGTAATGGAGGGCAGATAGATACAGTAGAAAAGGCCAAACTGTATTTCACACCTATTGCAAAAAGAGTTCTGAACCTCTCATTCCACGAGAAATCTAACACACTTTCCATTAGAGGCATTGGAAATGCTTTGGCCCTCTTTAACCCAATTGTTTTTTACCCTAGCTGACCAGGAGCCAGGAGGAAGACACATTTGACACTTTTTATCAACCACAGATAATTTTCTTAGCATAGACAGAGCCTATGAAACAAACACACAGCTGGAGCGGGGCGCTGTTGAAAACATAGTCTTTATTCTCTCCCTACTCTTTATTCCAGGATAGATTCTTTACTTATTCTCTCTTCAGAGGGGACTTTTTTGACACACAGCCAGGGCTGGATAGAGATTAGGAATTCTCTCTGCCCCATCATCCTTGAATATTTCCTTTTAATTTCACAGTTTAAATTCCAATTGGGTAAGTACATTCTGCCTACCTCAAATTCCTCTGTAATTTCAATTGGATACGGTGTCCTTCATTCAGTGAATCTTGCAATGCTGCTGGGCTCAGTTCAAAGGCAGACACGTTCCATTTCATATCTATTGGAAAAAGGGATGGGATCAGGGCCCCTTTAAACAAAAACTAATGCTACCCACATCGTAGACAGAGATTGCTGTGGAGTAACAAGGCCATCTTAACCCTTGACTGCACAGCAGACATTTTTACAATGCCCCAGTCTACATATTTGGGGATTAAAAGTCTGGTTCTAAGCATTTCTTCCCCTCTACACAGACATTTTACTCTCTATGAAGGCATGCAAGGAACCCTGGTCTAGTGTTCTGAATGTATGTTGCCAGAATGTACCTGCTTGTGTCATTTTAGAGTGTCAGTAACACCCAGGGGGCCTAACAGCTTTGGTTAGTGGTCGGGAGCGGCTCCATGCACCTGAGAAGGGTTTGAGCTTCAGGTGCAAGTGGTGGGGCTGATAGCAGCCAGACTTCAGCGCTTCCCAGACTTTGAGTGATGTCTCCCCGCTCCCCTCCCTCTGCCTTTGAATCCCCAGATTCCGAGACAGCTGCCTCTTAGATTCAAAGAACAGCATAGCAATGTGGGTATGATCAGCACAAAAAACTGGTTTAAAAAAAAACATCTTCCAAAAACTGGAAATCTCCTGTATTTTATCATACAAAACCAATACAGATGGGATCTCCCTGGTCTGGCACCCTCAGTACCTGAGTGGTCCTGGACAAGGAAGTTTTCTGGATCTGGGGATTTCGGGGGAGGAGAGACACCGGCCTTCCTGCTGGGCTCCTCTCCCCAGCCACCAGGGCTCCTCTGCCCAGCCTCCCGGCCCCACAGCCTGTGTTAGTCCCACTGGAGTTCCTGGTGGCCTCACCAGCCTAATGACTGCCTTCCCGTCCTGCCAGAGCTCCAGGCTGCCTTGCTGACTGCTGGCTCCAATGCCCTGCAAACTCCAGTCCTCCTGCTGGCTTCCCTGCCACACCAGCTTCAGTCTGTGGTGACCCGCAGGCTCTGTTGTCCTGCTGGCCCTGCCAGCTGGCTCTGCTCTGAACCCCTGGCAACTTCGGCTGTTGGGGCTCTCTAGTCCCGCAACATCTGTGGTCCTTCAGGTTGCCAGATCAGAGAGTCCCAGACCATAGAGGTTCAACCTGTATCCTTTGCAAATTTTGCAATCCTCAGACATTTCACCTCAAACCTTGCCCATAACCTGTCACCTGAATTGCATACCTCAACTTATTCAGAACCGTGATATAAAGAGTACTTTGTAGTGTTGGTATTTGTTTTACATCAGTCTAAAAAGATTGCTGGTATCTCTGAATCTAGCCCCCCTTGCATGCTATTCACTATCTCTTCATAGGCCGCAAGAGGGTACAGCTGCTTATTTTCTTCATGTGCTTCTATGCTGCCCTGCAGATACTGGTAATATTTTGCTTTTACATTTTTGCTACCTTTCCTCTGGTTCCTGTAAGCAGCTTAGCTTTAACCTGTTTTCATAGGAATAGGATCTATGACTAAAGGGGGAAGAGAGAAAATACGCAGACCAATCTTTCTCTGGCAAACTCCATAGTGGGATTCAAGAAGTCTGCTAACCTGGTTTAAAATTCTGTTTAAACACAGTTTCAGCTAAAAATATTTGGCTGTTCAGGATGGATGGAAATGGGAGAGAGAGAGAAATTGGGATTAAACTATTTTATATGGTACCATATCTAATTAAGGTCTTGGTTTGAGTTCTGTGTCAAGTTGGCTTTTGCTTTCTCTCTCTTTCTGGAGTGATCCTGTTCCAAAGGAAGCTTTGCCATTGACTTCCATAAAATCAGATTTGGGGCTATTTTCTTTGTCTCTCTGGCATAAAACAGTAATCTTAGCTGATGCCAAAAAGAACACAGCAGCTCCAAACCTTTTCTTACCATCTTGCTTCTCCAAAAAGGGGAATGTTCCTGAAGAGGGGGAGAAATACAGTGTCAGTGCCACAGCTAGGCTTTGTTTGTTTTTTAGTCATAAACCTTTAAGAAAGGGGGAAAAGGAAAGCAGCCATTTTATTTATCTCCAAGTTCGTCAGTTGGCAAGTGGCAAGACTGTAGTGAAGCAGGAAAATGAAACATGTGAAGGTACAAGTGCCAGCGGGGGGAAGTCACTGGTGCTTATTGTCAGTTTTGGTCTGACACATAAAGTTCAACTAATCCTCTTAGTTACAGAGACACACTGGTATGGGGAGATTGTTATCTCAAGCAATTTGCTGGCTTTATTCTTTTTTTCCTTCAAGTTTCTTCTCGCCTAATTGAGCAGCAGCTCTTCCTGGGACTGGTTTGCAATAATCCTGAGGCCTCATCAGGGAAAACATTCTGAAAAGTAGAGAAGGAAAAGCTGCCCAAGTGAGCCAGCTTTTGCCAGGAGTCTCCCTCTGTAGGTAAGTGTTGGAAATGAGTCAAAATCATGAGAATTTCAAGAAAAAATTAAATGTAATATAAATATCCTGATTACAAAGAAGAACAAAGTATTCAAAAACATAATCTAATCTGAATGAACAATTAATTGTGAATCAGAAAACTGGAAGTTGGACACTCTGAGATGGAGAGTCAGAGCCAGGGAATGCAGATCCCACTTCAGTCCTACTTTCATGGTCAAATGCATGTGTCTGAGGTAATACTGAGAATCAAAAAGAGTAATAATACATAATCATAATAATAATTTAGGAGTTTTATGTATTTATGTATTTATAAATAAAAGGAGAATTCAGCAAAAGGAACAGAAAAGAGAAAGTTCACATTACAGCTATCCAGGAGGGAATCAAGTTACAAATAATTATCTGGAGGCAAATCATTGACTGTCCCACTGAAAATTTCCCACCATTACTATCACTAGTTTAGCTGCCAGTGGTTTTATCAGTGTTCTGAACCCTATTACAGGTATTTTGCCAGCTGCCAAAAGTGTTTTTAATATAATGTCAATTATACCTGAAGAGTTATGTGATATGGTCTTAAAAATAGTAGCAGCCAATCTCCACTAAGGCTGGCAAGATCGCTAATGCAGAATTGGTGTTAGTAATAGTAGGAAATGTTTAGAAATCTTTGCTTGTGTAGACAGAGCTTTTGATTGACCAAACCCTGTAGGCACAACATATTTTCTAGAAAGTTAATGCTTTCACAAATGTAAGATAAGAGGGAAAGTGCTAGAGCAGAAGACTGGGAATCTCTCAGCTCTGCTACTGACTTGCTGTATAAAGCAAGCTGTATATAGCTTTTAAATTCTGCCCTGTCTTCTTACGTGTTCAGTGGAGGGAGGGGAAAGGAATAAAGAGCCTGGCCCTTTGTTTAGGTGTCCAGAAAAAGGGGCAGGCAGATTTGCAGCCCCTGCTTTAAGAGGAGAGCAGGTAATGTTCCCTAATGACTTCCTGGGACTGCATATTGCCCCTCAAAGAAGAAGAAGGAGCAGGAAAAGGTTGTAATAAATGGCGTCATGAGTCTCCGGGTGGCTGCACAGATGAGTAAGCTGCACCTCTCAATTCTATCAGTGAACATATGAGTGCCTTACAATAGAAAGAGCTTGAAAGTCATGTGTTTTCTTTGCTATTCTAATATGTCCCTGAATCATACTCTGTAACATCAGATGAGGACTCCGACAGTGAGAATTCGTGCCTGGTTACAGAGATAGTGAGGGAATGACAAATATAGAAAAAAGTTTTTAGAAATATATGTATTTATATTTACTAATTATTCTTGGAGCTGTCCATGTTAATTTAACTGACCAACTCATTTTAGATTCCCTTTAATCAGCGGATAACAGACTGAAACCAATGAGAGAAAGAAAAAGAACTGCCAGCTGAATATAATGAATGAAAAATATTCACATCTATAAGTAGCATCATCATGTTCCCCAATGGCAGTTCCCTGTCTTCCCCATATTCTCCTCACCCCTCAAACATGTGCACGTGCACACACACACACACACACACACAATGGGAGGAATGACAGCTGTTCTTCATGGAATGACAGCTCAGGGATATTGCATCCTACCTTAAAAAAAATCAGGCAAGGTACAGAATAAGGTCAGTGAAAGGAGACAAGAGGGTCTCCCGGTGAAGACAAAGGGTAATTTATTGACAGATGAGATAGACGTTACTACAGAAAAATATTAAATGGATTCTTTTCCTCCTGTCTTTGGGAAAAAAAAAGAGGGGAGGGCTAGGAGGGATAGATGCCAGAAATTGAGACAAATTTCCCAGGAGAGGAAGAAGAAATCCTGAAGGAAATTAGGATCACGACGGAACAAGAAATTAGACCTTCTGAAAAGATAAGAAATTCTATTCTAGAATTCTTCAAGGAAACAACAAATAGGAATGGTGGGGAGGAAGCATCAACAGCCAAATTGCTTCAAAGACACTCATAGAACAGGAGGAAGTGCTAGTAAAAGAGAAAGAAGCTAATTAAAAGCCAGCATTTGAAAAGGGTTGCTAGGAAATTACTGAGCTGTGCTCTTGACGTCAATGGTAGGGAAGACACTGGGATCGCTAATCAAGGAGAGGCTAGGGCAGCATATGGGGCAGGGAAGATTTTATTAGGATAGTAGTCAGCTTACGTTTACATAATAGAGGCAGTCAAGCTCAACAAATGGCAGATAAGTTTTGTAGAAAGGAAGGGCCTGATCTCTAGCTGGTGTAAACTGAAATAGCCTAACACTAACAGCACTATGTCAATTTACAACTGCTGATGATCTGCCTCAAAGTCTTAATTAGTAGGAGCCATGGCTATAATTTCTCTGGCTCATTTGCAGCCAGCCCTGGCCTATGTGTTCAAAAGAAGACAGGTAGGGTAAAATGAAACTTCTCTGCATGTCTTTGGGCCTCCAGACATTCAATACCTCTGGCCACTCTCCCTGTGGTATAACAGCTCCACATTGCCCCCAACATAGGACAGTACCTAGAAGACACAATCAGATCCTGAAGTATTAGAAGAGCTTATGATAACAAGGCCAAGTTAATGAATATGCTCCTGAATGAGGGGATCACTAAAACCAGCTACTCAAATGGTAAAAGTAACAAAATCAGAGAAATAAGAAAAGGAACAGATTTTATTTTTATTTCTCTGTGAAAAGAAGATTCACAAGCATGATTGGGTTTAAGATAAATAGAGCCTTAATCTGCTCTCTCTTGGCAAGGAACATGTTTTTATCAAAGTGTAAATCAGTCTGTGCATTATGGAAGAAGGAGGCAGCAAAATTTTCAATATGCCCGTTGTAACATGCCACACAACGTATTGTGAACTAGCTTTGTGTCTATATCAACCCTGGCAAGGTTCTCACTCAGAGCAGTCTTATCTGCCACTTGGCCAGCCTTACCTGCAGTGGCCACGGGGCTCCCTGTTCCATTCCAGACAACGTTGTGACACCACATTGTGTTCTGGTGCTAGGATGTGATGCCATTGCCATATCACGCCTTGACATCACATCATGAGATGATGATTATGTGCTACACTGCCTGGTTGTGCTAAAGTGATGATGTAACTTTATGACATCATGTCACTACCATTTTACTTGGGGGAGGGGGATGACCTCAGCTTGCAGTATCCCATCAATCTTGACCTTTAAATTATAGTATGCCCATAATTTAAACTGATCTTAACTAAATCTGCTCCATCGTATCTTTTCCTCAGTTATTACAAGAATATCCCAAAATGTTTTCAAAAATCAAAAAAACAAAATAAAACTTACCTAACATGAAGGATAGCTCAGCATCTTGATAATGCTAGAATGATGAATCCTTTGTTAGTCACTGGTTCAAATGCTGTGAGAGACAGTATGGAATGAAGTTGCAGCAGACAGTGAGTGGCTGCTGGGATGTGATGGCTGCAGAAAAAATCACAGGTCTGGTTTCTAGAGAATTGTCATGGCTATGGACTTGTTTGTATAGTGTTTAGCATGGTGGGATCCTGATTCTTAGTTGGAGCATCTAGATGTGAGTGTAAAATGTACTATATTATTACTATTTTTATAAAATAAAAATAAGAGCCCAATGTGAGTCTGAGGGTACGTCTAGACTACAGGCTTTTGTCAACAGAGGCTTTGTCGACAGACACTGTCGACAAAGCTTCTGTCGACAAAGAGTGTCTAGACTACATCCAGTTCTGTTGACAAAGCAAGCTGCTTTGTTGACATGAGAATGTAGACGCAAAGGACAGTGTAGATGCAATAACGCCTTCTGTCCACAGAACTCTGTCGACAAAAAGTGTTATTCCTTGTAGAATGAGGTTTACTGCCATCGACAAAACAGCCAAGTTCTGTTGACATTATGTTGACAGAACTCGGCGGTAGTGTAGACGCAGGTATAGTTTTGTCGACAAAAGTCCACTTTTGTCAACAAAACCCTGTAGTCTAGACATACCCTGAGAGATTAAATGAAGTCATAACAGGGAAACATTTGGCAGCACTGAGCATAATTCACAGGAAAAAAGTTATCTCTGCACTGGAAAGCTCCTACAGCTATGCTAACCACAACTGAATTAGAAAATGGTTGTCAAGCCTAGATAATTATACAGCTATGCTTAACAGCTATCACTACTCACAACTGTAGCAAACATAATTCACATTTTAGAGCAAACAAGACGTGACTTTCTAAAGGATGAAAATAAAGTCTGCATTCTCTGTACAATGTGGGGAGTCTAATGATAAAAAGGAAACATGCTTTCAGAAGACAAAGAAAAACCATTTGTGCCTCAGTTTCCCCATCAGTTCAATGGGGATCATGCTCCCCTACTACTCAAGGGGGATGTCAACTTCAATAACCAACACTGGAAAATGCTGGAATACTCCTATTCCAGTGTGTGAAATTCCACATTAGATTTTTTTAAATTGCTGGCTATAGCTTTAAAAATAATAGCTATGTCTGTTTCGTCAGAAATATTGTTAGGAATCCCTATCACGTTCTAATGCTTTAATGAAATTTTGCTCAGACAAAATGGATGCTGTTGAACTAGAAATTTCTATGAGAAAATCTTTTTGCTCTCAGCAGCAGCATTCAAGACTTCAACTGGACTACATTCTGCTGCTAGCACACTTTTCTTAATGGCTGGAAATATTTTGAATAGTGAGGAAGAAAGGTGACTGGCATTGTACAATCTTCCAAATGGTGTGACTGCAACAAGGTTATTTTCTCTGGGGTGGTTAAGGCCTGTATACTCTATAATCACCACCAAATCAGATTACAACATAGCCCCATTTTGTAGGGTAAACAGAATCTAACACCATTAATATTTATTTATTGTTGCACCCATAGTGTGTGAGGGAATTTCCAATCACAAAAAAAAGATGATCCCTTCTCCAAGGGGCTCAGACTACAGGGACAGACAAAGAGACAGAGGCAAAGAGAAAGGGGCCTCGAAAAAATAATAGGTACATAGTATGTTTTCTATACAA